TCTCCGAAATAAATAAAGATATATTAAAAGAAAAAAAGTATTAAAAAAAAAAAGAGTTGGTTCTTTGTAAAGATAAACAAAATTAATAAACCTGTAGCCAGGCTCATCAAGAAAAAAAAGAGAACTCAAATAAATAAAATCAGAAATGAAGGAGAAGTTACAACCAACACCACAGAAAAACAAAGTACTGTAAGGAAATACTATGAACAATTATATGTCAACAAATTGGACAATCTGGAAGAAATGGATAAATTCCTAGACACATACGATCTTTCAAGGCTGAATCAGGAAGAAACAAAATCTTAACAGACTGGTAACTATGAAATCAAATCAGTGATAAAACACNATCTTTCAAGGCTGAATCAGGAAGAAACAAAATCTTAACAGACTGGTAACCATGAAATCAAATCAGTGATAAAACACACACACACACACACACACACACAAAACAAAAAACTTCCAAACAAACAAAAGCCCTGGACCAGATGGCTTCACAGGTGAACTTTGCCAAACATTCAAAGATGAATTAATACCTATCCTTCACAAACTATTTTGAAAACTGGAAGAGCAGAGAAGGCTCCCAAACTCATTTTTTTGAGGACAGCATTACCCTGATACAGCACCAGACAAAGACACTACAAAGAAAGAAAATTATAGGCCAATATCCTTGATGAACATAGATACAAAAATTCTGAACAAAATATTAGCAAACCGAATTCAGCAATACATTAAAAATATCATACAACATGATCAAGTGGGATTTAGTCCTGGATCTCAGGCTGTTTCAATATCTGCAAATCAATTAATGTGATGCACCACATAAACAAAATAAAATATAAAAATCACATGATCATATCAATAATGCAAAAAATCATTTGACAAAATCCAACATCCACTCATGATAAAAACTCAGCAAAATGGGGATAGATGGAACATATCTCAACATAATAAAGGCCATATATGCCAAACCCACAGCTAACATCATACTCAATGGTGAAAAGCTAAAAGCATTTAAGATCACGAACAAGATGAGGATGTCCACTTTCACCAGTTTTATTCAACATAGTCTTGGAAGTGCAATCCAAGCCACAGCAATCATACAAGAAAATGAAATGAAAGGTTTTCAAATTAGAAAGGAAGAAGTAAAGCTGTCGTTATTTGCAAATGACTTAATACTATATAGAGAGAACTCTGAAGAATCTTAAAAAAAAAAAAACCTATTAGAACTAATAAGTGAATTAAATAAAGTTGCAAGATACAAAAAAATTCAGAAATTGGCTGCATTTTATACAGCAATAACAAACTATTAGAAAGAGAAATTTTAAAAAATCTCATTTACAATTGCATAAAAAAAATACCTAAGAATAAATTTAATCAAAAAGGTAAAAGACCTGTACTCGGAAAACTATGTAACACATTAAAGAAATACACTGAAGAAGATAAAAATAAATGGAAGGAAATAGCATGCTCACAAACAGGAAGAATTAACATCATTAAAATGTCCATACTACCCAAAGCACTCTACAGATTCAGTGCAATCCCTATCAAAATACCAATGACATTTTTTACAGAACTAGAACAAATACTCCTAAAACTTAAATGGAACCAAATAAGACCCTGAAGTGCCAAAGCAATCCTGAAAGACAAAGTTGGAGGTATTAAGCTACCTGATATCAAATTACTACAAGTCTATAGTAATCAAAACAGCATGCTATGGAAAAGCAAGGCTCTGAAACCAAGACTACTCTATCCAGCAAGGCTATCGTTCAAAACAGATGATGAAATAGCTTCCCAGACAAAAAAAAAAGGCTAAAGGAGTTTATCACCACCAAACCAGCATTGCAAGAAACGTTAAAGGGACTCCTGTGATAAGAAGTTGAAATAGAGAGAATGAGAAACATAAAGAAATAAAATGGCAATAGATAAGTACCTATCAATAATAACATTAAATGTAAATAGATTAAATGTCCTAATCAAAAGACATAGAGTAGCTGAATGGATAAGTAAACATGACTCAAATATATGCTGTCTACAAGAGACCCACCTCAGAACAAAAGACTCACACAGGCTGAAAAAAAACAAAACAAAACAAAACAAAACAAACAAACAAAAAACTTCTGGAGGACTTTAAAATAGATATTGACAGCAATACAGTGATAGTAGGGGACTTTAACACCCCAATGACTTTGCTGGATAGATCTTCCAGACAAAAAAATCAACAAGGAATGGTGACTCTAAATGTCATATTTCATCAGATGGATTTAATTGACATTTACAGAACATTTCACCCCAAAGCTGCAGAATACACATTCTTCTCAAGTGCACATGGGACACTGACATTCTCAAAGACAGACCACATGTTAAGGACACAAAACAAGTCTCTACAAGTTCAAGAAGATTGAAATCATACCAAGCATCTTCTCAGACATTTACACCATGGAATACTATGCAGCTGTAAAAAAAAAAGGATCCTTTACCGTATGAGACAGCATACTTGGACCTGGAGAGTATTATGCTAAGCGAAACAAGCCAGTCAGAGAAAGACAAGTGTCCTGTGACCTTACTCATGCATAGAATCTAATGAACAAAATAAACTGATGAACAAAATAGGTCCAGAGACATAGAAGCATGGAACAGACTGATGAATCTCAGGGAAGGCAGGGGTAGGTGGGGAGAGGTTAACCTAAGAATGTATATATGCACATATGCATAACCCATGGACACAGACAATAGTGGAGTGAAGGCTTAGAGGGAGTATGGTGGAGGGGATCAATGGGGGGGGGGACATCTGTAATAATTTCAACAATAAAGATAAATTTTTTAAAAAGTTAAATAAAAATTCATGATACCGCCACACAGCATGGTATGGCATAAAAACAGACACATAGATCAATGCAACATAACAGAGAGCCCAGAAATAACCCATGCCTCTATGGTCAATTAATCTAAGACAATAGAGTCAAGAATATACAATGGGGTAAAGACAGTTTCTTCAATAAATGATGTTGAGAAAACTGGACAGATACATGCAAAAGAATGAAACTGGATTGCTTTCTTATCCCATATACAAGAATAAACTCAAAATGGATTAAAGACCTGAAACCATAAACCTCCTAGAAGAAAATGTAGGCAGTAAACACTTGGACATTGCTCTTAATGGTATTTGGGGGCGTGGGGATGTATCCTCGAGCAAGGGAAACGAAAAAAAAGGGGGGCTACATCAAAGGAAAAAGGTTTGCACAGCAAAGAAAACAATCAACAAAACAAAAAGGCAGCCCACTGAATGAGAGAACATATTCAGCAATGAAACATGATAAGGGGTTAACATCCAAAATTTAGAACTCATACACATCAACACCAAAAAACCCTCAAACAATCCAATTAAAAAATGGGGAAAGGACCTGAATAGACATTTATCCAAAGAGGACATACAGAGGGCCATTAGACACAGGAAAAGATGCTCAACATCATGAATCATTAGGGAAAGCAAATTAAAACCACAATGTGATATCACTTCACACCTGTGAGAATGGCTATCATCATCAAATCAACAAACAAGTGTTGGCAAGGAGGTGGACAAAAGGGAACCCTGGTGCATTACTGGTGGGATTGTAAATTGGTACAGCCATTGTGGAAAATAGTATGGAGGATCCTCAAAATTTAAAAATAGAACTACCTTGCCTGGCTGGGTGGTTCAGTGGTTGAGCATCGACCTATAAACTAGAAGGTCAGGGTTCAATTCCTGGTCAGGGCACATGCCCAGGTTGTGGCCTGATCCCCAGTAGGGAGCATGCAGGAGGCAGCCAATCAGTGACTCTTATCATTGATGTTTCCATCTCTCTATCCCTCTCCCTTTCTCTCTCTGAAATCAATAAAAACATTTTTTAAAAAAATATATCTTTATTGATTTCAGAAAGAGGAAAGGAGAGGGAGAGAGAGACATAGAAACATCAACGATGAGAGAGTCATTGATTGAGCCCACAACCCGGGCATGTGCCCTGACCGGGAATCGAATCCCGATCACCTGGATCCCAGGTCAACGGTCAACCGCTGAGTTACGCCCAGCTGGGCCAATAAAAACATATTTTAAAAAATATATAACTACCTTATGACCCAGCAACTCACTTCTGTATATGTATCTAAAGGAATCAAAGACACTAATTCAAAAAGATATATGCAGCCCTATGTTCATTGCATCATAACTTACAAGAGCCAAGATATGGAAGCAACCTGTGTCCATCCATAGATGAATGGATAAAGATGTGATACACATATAATAGAATATTACTCAACCATAAAAAGGAATGAAATCTTGCCAGTTTCGACAACATGGATGGGCCTACAGGGTATTATTCTAAGTGAAATAAGACAAAGACAAATACCACAGGATTTCACTCATTTGTGGAATTTACAAAACAGATGAACAAGCAAAAGAGAAACAAAATCACGGATACAGAAATTGATGGTTGCCAGATTTGCCAGATGGGAGGGGGGTTGGGAGATCTGTGAAAAGAGTGAAGGGATTAAGAAGCAGAAGTTGCCAGTTATAAAAACAGTCATGGGGAGGTAAAAGTAGAGCATACGGGAAAAGTCAGTATTTTAATAGGTATGCGTGGTGTCAGATGGGTACTGGACTTAATTGGGTGATCACTTGGTAAATTACCTAAACGTCTAATCAGTATATTGTACTCCAGAAACTAATATAATGTTGCATGTCAACTGTAATTTGGGGGGAAAGATGTCCAAGTTCCTGCACAGCCCAGCTGAGTGTGTACCGTCCATTCAGATGTAAAATAACAGGTTCACACATATTAAGGCCTGACAAGAGCAAGGACCAGGATACAAGTTTCTCAAGTCTCTGCCGCAGCCTTTTGGCCCTCGGCGCTTGGTAAATGTCAGCTGCAGAGCTCAGCACATCTGGCGCTAACTGTGGAAGGATCAAACATCCTGCACGGGGCAGGAGGGCGGAGGAGGTCGTAGGTCTGCATTACGCCCAAATTTCTCTGGTCAGGAATTGGGGTCTGAGGGTCAGCGCGTCCCAAGCAGAGTTCCTACAGCCTGAGATCAGCCCCGCCCTGAGCCAGCCGCGCAAGCGCCGTGGCGCAGAAAGGACACGCCCAAGTCCCCTGTACGCATGCGCAGCGGCGCGGGGGCGTGGCAGCGCCGCACGCTCTTCTCGGGACCCGACCGCGATTTTAAATTTAGCGACGTTCTCTCTGCTACCTCAGCCGCCTGTCCTGAAGTGAAGCTGTCCTGCCTGAGAAGAGGGTGAGCGCGGTGCTGCGTGGTAGCAAAGCCTGGGGCCAGGAGAAACGGAACGAGAAAGGGCGGACTCCGCTGTGAGCGCAGACCCGCGGCTGTTCGCGAAGGGGTGGGGCGCGTCGGGCGCGGGAAAAGCCTTCCGGATCTGGGGCGGGGCTAACGTGTGATTGATGGGCGGGGAGCCAATGCAAGGGCGAATGGAGCGTGAGTGAGGGCGGGATCTGCAGTTGAAGTGGAGCTGTGCTGTGGAGTAATAAAAACTAACACGCACCGGGGACTTCAATGACCCATCTAGGCTAACTGCTTTTTATAAGTTATTTAGCGGTCACTGCAACCTTATGAGTATGCGCTTTTACGTATCTCTCTTATACACGCGAGGAAACAGGATTAGGAGAATTAACTTAGGCAAGAATGCAGCTGGGATCCCAAATTTGGCGGTCTGAGCCCGGAGCCCTTACCGTTAATGGCCCTGCCCCGCTGCCTGCCCTTCAGAAAGTCCAGGTGGAGTGGGGCCGGTCAAGAGGATTCAGTTGGATGGAATTGACCAGACTGTTGGACGATGTGCTATGAAAAGTGGAAAGAATACTAAGTAGCAGGTTTTTCCTACACAGTGTGAGGGCTCTGAGGATGGAGCTGGGTTGGAGATACGGCCCCCATAGCAAGGGTGTGGGCCAGGCCATGTCCCCAGCTGTGGGAGCATTGCAGTCTTGTGGCGCTGGACTAAACAGTAGGTGCAGAAAACATTTGGGGGGGGGGGGC